AGGCCCAAAGACATGGGGGTTCGCAAAATGCCCTACTGGGTGCAGCAGCTGGGGGTTTGCAAAATGAACTTTTGGGTGGACACGCGCCTCCCAGCAGCAGAGAAACGAAATTCGCCTTGACCAGAGGATGATGGAAATGCGCGACGGAAGTGGCATGTGGTTTGTGGTTTTTCTTTGGCGTGTCCCCCTTGCTGAAAAATGGGGTTGGCGGGCTATTTCCTGACTGCATGTTAGTGCTGGGCTTACAATGATAAGGACCGCATTGTGCATGGGCAAACGTAACACTGGAGTTTCGGAACGGAGCTTTGACTTTCTTGCTTGAAACATGCTTTTCTTTGCCCCAAAAAAATGCGAATTTTGTGACATGATTTTGCATCTGTTGCTCATGTGGCGCGGTTTTCAAAGTCAAATAGGTATATGCAGCATTTGTTTTCTTTGGCAAAAACATATTGCCTGTTCAACATTTTTTTGACAGAAGGCTGCGTTGCTTGATTGCTTGTGAGGAACGCCTCATTTTGGAGACAACTGCCGCATTGTCAATAAACACGGGCATCGCTGTTATTTTGAGGAAGAATTGATCCTTCGTACATTGAACATTCAAAATCTCAGCAAGGACTCAAGGGCTGCATTTTTTAAACGCAAGGCGCCAAGTTGGCATTTTTTGCTAATTAGAGCAGATGCATTTAGAAATGCTGCAATGGTCAAGAATGATTATAGCCTGTTATCTGTTGTTATGGCTAAACATTGTTAAAAACCAATCGTACTGTGCATATGCAGAATCCTGCACCAGTTGGTAGAAAGTTTATCCCACTATCCCATTCTTTACCCAGTAATTGCACGTAATTACTATCCCATTGGCAGGAATCCATATTATGAATAGTTACTATCACAACTGGTAGGAAACCCATATAATATCATATTCCAGATTTAACACGTTATCATAGTCATCAATGATTTAATCAGAGTTATGTGCAATATGTGGGTGAATAACCAGGTCCATAGGTTGTACAATGTGGCCCCCCAGTTCTGTTTGTTGTTTTATATGGCCCATTATATATATATATATATCTATAGTATACTATTTGATAATGGATATTATAACTAACATATCTTATGGACTAAGTATTACTATACCATCTGGTTTTACATTAAATAACTAACCATATCATAACCATATCATATTTAGCCCATTACTAGTCATCATCGTCAATGCTCTCCCTGCAGAACTGCCACCGACGCCACCGCGGCTCGGCCGCGGGAGACCGTCCGTTTCGAGTTTGGGTCTGTGGCGTTTTGTTTTGTTTTGTTTGGGAAAAAGATGAGAAACCAGCCGATTTTGATGAAACATGGGGATTTGGTGACAAAAGCACTTTTTTTCAGAGTGCATGTTTACTTCCAAATTTGTAATTTTGGTTCTATTGAAGTTTGTAGAGATCGCGTTTGTGAAAATCCTGCGACGCCACAAAAAGAGCCCCAGAATGAGAGTTGGTTTGGGACCAACCCTAGTAATGTCAAGATGGTGGGTAAACCAATGTGAAACATTTTAAATTATATAAAGACAATGCCAGTGCTTATGTGAATTGCGGTCTGTGACAGCCATGTGAACCGACAGTATGGGTTTGACCCAACTACTATAGGGGAACAAGCGAACACCCAACATTCTGCTCCCACCCCTGTTGAGTGGGTCATGGAGTTAGCATGTTTTTTGGTAAGTTATGACTAAAGGATTAAATTTGATTAAATAACATTTTTCTGCGGGTCAAATCCCCATTTTTATGAACTGTTCATATATGTTGCTTAAATTATCTTGACCATTTTTTGTGGTACCTGACCCCTTAAAAGTGGATGCATTGAACTGTGTGGGTTTAGCTCATGTCGCTCTTGAGCATGTGACATCATGTGACCATTGGCCCAATAAACGCTGGTGAAGCATGGTGAGTGGATGTAGGGAATGATGCTATTTAATTGCTGGTTGGTGGTTTGGAACATTTTTTATTTTTCCATATATTGGCAATAATCATCCCAACTGACTAATATTTTTCAGAGGGGTTGAAACCACCAACCAGATTGGTTGTGTGGGAGTTGTATAAATTCTGTTGTGAGAATCTCTGTCAACCAGGTACATCAGACTTTACATCTCATCAAACATCTTCGCCCTTGAGACAACTCGCGCTGGGTTAGCTCCAAAAGAACTTTCCGAATGGTGCTTTGACTCCGAGAAAAAAAATAGGAAAACTGTGGCGTGTTCCAACTTTGCCCAATAGCCTTTGAAATGAATATATATATATATATATATGTATAATATTTATATATATAATATTATATATCCCAATGTTAAGCCATGGGTTAAACCATGTTCAAGGCCAATGTTGAAAGAGCTAAAATTTCGTGTATCCGACCACTGGCAATCATCCCATAGGGATTCCGACGTCATGAAACCATCGGTTTCCTCGGTGCCCATGGCATTCGTTCAAAACCACATGATAAGACGAAGACGTGGGTAAAACAATGTCATGAAAAATCCACTGGGAATGGTAAGTTTATACCACCTATATCTATGAGAGGGCCGGTATGGTCTAGTGGATAAGACGCATCCTTCATGCGTCAGATCCGGGTTCAATACCCGGGTGCAACACTAGGCTGACAGGCGGGCCACTACCCCACCTCTGCAGTTAAGGGGATGAGCTAGGGTGTGGTCCGTAAAGACACACACACACCTATATTTATGATGACTGGGGGATGGTGCAAATGACATAACTTTTACCCGGATCAGCCTGAGGCCGCCGTCTTCGCAAGGCGGGGGACGACTTCTCTGGATACCCAGTGTTTGGTTAACGTTCATCTATGGTTTCCATCCAGGACAAAATAGGGGAAACGATGGTAAACTAACATAACTATGGAAAAGCACCATTTTTTATAGGTAAATCAACTATAAATGGGCCATTTTTTGATGGAGATTCAGGAAACTTGGAAACTGAATCCATGTTATTTGAGTCAACTGACTGGTGAACGGTGTAGTAATTGAGCTGAATGTGGTATGAACATGTACAAACCATCCGCGATTGTACCAGAAATGGATAGAAACTGAGGTGGGTCGAGGCATTGGATTTGAAGATTCTTGCCGTTTTTCCATCATTTCCTCCAAGTCTCATGTTTCTTGTTTGTGTAATGTTCGTCATTGTGTTCCAGGGCTTAGATCCCTTGAATCTGTGGATCCCCAGAGTTCATCGTTCCTCATGAGTCGGTGTCCCGAAAACAGGGGATTTCATAGGGGAAGGGATGGGAAGGGATCATACACACAGATATATGTATATTGTTATCTATCTATCTATCTATCTATCTATCTATCTATCTATATATATTGTGTCTTATTATATATATATACATTATCATTATCATATTATCATTATCATATTATTATTGATATCAATATACTATATACATTATAAATTATGTATATATATATATAATCATACATGTTCGAATTATATGTATATATATATATACACATCATATGAATATTGTTAGTTATAGTTATATCCCATGTTTACAATCACCTTACTGATGTTGAATCATATCTCCATTTTTCCGTGTTGTATCCCATGTTCATTTTACCCGACTATATCCCATGCATTATTATATTCTGGATCTACCTGGTCATAATTTGGTGATCCCAGCAATCTTGTTGGTCAAACTCTTCATGACATCCTCGTACAATATGCCACATTACATATATATATATATATACCAACAAATCTGGGAATGTACCATGAAATATCATAAATGCCATGATTTTTCCAGGAATCTTCTAGGAATGCCCCAGGAATCCCAGAAATGTTAACCATTATTGCAGACTACTGACCGTTAAACAAAATTATTAACCATTACTAACCATTATTTAACCATTACTAACCACTACTTAACCATTACTAACCATTATTTAACCATTACCAACCACTACTAACCATTATTTAACCATTACTAACCACTACTTAACCATTAACCATTACTAACCATTATTGCACCATTACTAACCATTACCAACCATTACTAACCATTATTTAACCATTACGAACCACTATTTGACCATCAACCATTACTAATTATTGTTTAACCATTGTTTAACCATTGTTTAACCATTGTTTAACCATTAATTAACCATTACTAACCATTACTAACCATTAGCAACCATTATTTAACCATTACTGGCCATTATTTAACAATTATTTAACCATTGCTAACCTTATTTCACCATTACTAACCATTACTAACCATTATTTAACCATTACCAACCACTACTAACCATTATTTCACCATTGCTAACCACTACTTAACCATTAACCATTACTAACCATTACTAACCATTACTAACCATTACTAACCATTATTTAACCATTATTTAACCATTACTATCCATTACCAATCATTATTTAACCATTACTAACCATTACCAACCATTACTAACCATTATTTAACCATTACCAACCACTACTAACCATTATTTAACCATTTCTAACCACTACTTAACCTGTAACCATTACTAACCATTACTAACCATTACTAACCATTATTTAACAATTATTTAACCATTACAAATCATTATTTAACCATTACTAACCATTACTAACCATTACTAACCATTACTAACCAGTACAAACCCTTAATTTAACCAATCCTAACCATCATTTAACCATTACTAACCACTACTTGACCATTAACCATTACTAACCATTATTTAACCATTATTTCACCATTACTAACCATCATTTCACCATTACTAACCATTACCAAGCATTGGCAACCATTATTTAACCATTACTGGCCATTATGTAACCATTATTTAACCATTGCTAACCATTATTTCACCATTACTAATCATTACTAACCATTATTAATCAACCTTATTAACCGCTTTTCAAATGGTGCGTCTTCTCATGTTCCATGGTCCGAACACGCGGCGGTTCGCCGCGCAACTGTCAGATGACTCCCAGCCCGAGCGACGCGAAGCCGGGACGGAGGAGGACGCGTTTTTTTTTTTTTCGACTGGACCGATGTGACGATTTCACCAACAATGGAATTATATAGTTTCTAGGATTTGTTGGTGATTGTATGAATGAAATGGGATGTGAGTGGAATTTTTTATTTCCCATACCATGTGGCTACAATCATTATTTCACCATATTTCACCAATACTGATACTGAATGGGATGAACAATGGAATGATATAATTTCTAATGGTGATTCATAGTGATTATTTATGATAGTTGGATGATTAATGGAACCGTGATAAATCTGGGTAAATTAGAACGGCCTCACTGCGACCTCACTAGATTCATAGTTAGTATAGGGAATTTTCCTCATTGTGAGCCTTATTTCATGTCAGTGAGTTATTATGTTTTAACCAGAAACATGTGGGGTACGGTCAAAACTCTGGTATACTACTTATGTAAAGGAAGGTTCTCTTGTATCTAAAAAGTGCACCAAACACTGTGTAGTGATAGGCCCCCCCCCAAAAGCGATACCTATAATTGTGCATAATGTCCACATCTGAAGTTGTTTTGTACAAAGTGGCGTACATGTAAGAGGCGAAATTAGCGACGCCTCTAGCGATACCTTAGCGATACCCATCTGTTCAAAAAGTAACCCCAGACCACAAATAGACACTCCTTTTCCTTTTCCTTTTCCTTATCTTTTAGTTTCCTTTTCCTCTTCCTTTTATCTTTACAAAATGGATCGCGCAAACGGGGCAATGGAACGTCAAAAAGGGGGCCCGAGGATTTCACCGATCAACACCCAACTGTAGGATTTTCGCTATAGCCAACTGTAGGCCGTTGATCCATGTTGATCCCCTTTAACGGTCCCCGTTGATCGTAAACTTCCAATGGTAACATCCACATTTTCATGGTTGTCACACTAAACCCCATTGGAAAGGGAAAACTTTAATTTGTGTGGTAGTTTTTTTTGCCAGTGTTTGGGAAACATCAAATCTTTTTCACTATTTAATATCCAATGTTTTGCATTGTCCTGAATTCCTGAAGGTGATTTTTGGTTTTCCGTTGGTTCTAGTGGAATCTACTGAACATAGAATGCTGAGGAAACTCAGGACAGGGTACCCTAGAAAAATGGGAAACATGTGTATATTGATTGTGATCATCAGCAGTTATGAGCCGAAGTTTGTCTTGAAGGGCATACCGCAAAGTTGGGGGACTTGCATGGACTTACCAACCATGGTTCATGGTTGGGAAACACTCCTTAGATCTCCTTAGCATGTTTTGTGCTCTGTTTGTGTCATTTACACAGCACTAATCACAAAAAACACTCGCATGATTATTGAATGGACAAACATGATTGCAGTGATGCAATGGTACGTACCAACGTTTGTTTTGTCCTCAAATCATCTCAAATCCACAAATCAATCAATATCCTCAGAAAGTTTCATGTTTTCACTCAGAATCCTTGCGCTCCAGTATCCTCCCTGAGAATTGGTAAAAGTCCCAAAATCATTTAATTTGTGCATTACTGTACCCAATTTTTCTAGGTACTGGGGAGGGTCTAGGCCTTACAGGCCGCACAACTTCCGAGGACAATCCGCCTTTGGGCCCTCCACCGGGCCCTGCACCGGGCCCTCCACCGGGCCCTTTCGCGGCCCCACCTGCGGGCCCTGCACCAGAGGGCCCAGCAGCAAGCCCTTTCGGTGCCGCCGCGGCTGCAGGGGCTTCCACCAACCCGTTTGGCCCACCCACGGTGCGCAGCGGGGGAGGCTGAAGGTCACTACTTGGAGCATCCGACAGATCCTCTAAGTAGGGACTAGTCGCAGACCTCTTCAAACTATTTACGAAGGTATTCTATAAAGGGGAACTTGGTCAAGAGGCAAATTGGCTGATGCCGGGTGACTATGGTTGAGGGATGTTGGAAGGGAGGGATTCGAATATCTCGGAAAATCAGCCGTTGTTTTCATCCAAGATGGTCCTTCAGTACCCCCTGCCAGGCCTTTGGTGGAACCACGAAGGCCCCCGTGAACCCATTCGCACCACGTGCAGTTACAGGCAGTGTTTTTTCTGCTCGGCTTGGACGGGTCGTTTGGCTATCGATTGGAATCCAATGGGGGTTCAACCAGCTGGTATTTTTTTTGCGTAGGGATTCAAGGGTTGCTATTGGTGGCTATACCTACAGTAGGCTAACTAGGACCCAGCTTATTTGGGATAAATTCGGTTGAACAAAACGGTTCTTGAAACATCTTGAAACATCTTGAAACGTTGACCCATGAAGGAGTTTGAATGATCCTATTTGCTTTGCATGGTTGTTTCGCCATGTTTCCTGCTCGGGTTGCCGATGGTCGCTTGACACTCCCAGCGATTCTGTTCGTTTCTTGTTCATTTCCTCGGACAGACCAACCCGGTAATTAATGGTGCAAACTCGCTGTGGATGATACTCCGATACATATATATATATACACATATAATATATATTACTGTATAATATACGTATAATATATATTATTTTGATAATATTATTGTTCTAGTGGATTTACACAATGAATTTCAATGGGTTTATATATAGATATATATAAGTGGAATTATATGCTTCGTTGTCACTTTTGGCGATTCCTCGAGTGATGACATATGTAAAGCATATTGCTAAGCAAGCTCCTCTGAAGTAAGGCGAGAGTAACATCCCAACATGACCTTTGGATAGTGCATACATGCAATGCATATATATATAATATACATACATATATATATATATACATACACATATATATATATGCATACATACCGGTATACCTGTGTTCCATCAAGTTCTCAGAATTCGCGCCGCAGGTGCGCCAAATCCCAATGCGCCCAAGGGATTCAGGCCACTGGTGGCAGAAATTCCTTGATTTGTAGGGAAATGGGGAAATGGACTGATGATCACACGCCGTTTCTGTCAAAAGTATCATTATTTCCCATAATCGAGAATGGTCATCAGTCTATTCGGGATATATAGACAATATGTATATATTCTACTGTAATATATATATATAATGTTAATTACCCACTATCAAGATTCCTAGCCCGGGCGACAGGGAGAGTGCGCGAAAACAAGTTGCGAAGAAGAAGGCTCAAGAGAAGAAGGCTCGAGAGAAGGGATTCTACTAAGTTTACCATGAAAAAAATACATGAAAACAAGCACGGCTGCCAACGGGATTCTCTACGAAATTTACCGTTCACCCCCCAAAAATTGGGAACATTAACATTCCATGCCAAGTCATGAGAACATGGAGTATAAAGTGGCATGGGATTTTTGCTAGGTCAAACATGGGGAGTTCAGCAAGACAAATGTGGGGATTTTGGCAATCAATTTTGTTGGGGCAATGAAATGAAATCAACAATGAATGATGAACATGGCTTTGTCCGGAAATATGTTTTTTGGGTGTTTTTGGATATTTTTGTGTATGAACATATATGAACCAACCCTCCTTGGCCTGGAAACAGCCGCCAAGGCTGCTCACATGCAACAAAGCCGCCAAGCCACTGCCAGAAAGGTAGAAAACTCAAATCCTACTAGAATGGTGCTAAATTGTTACTGTGCGATCACTTTTTGGGGGTTCCTATACATCTATGATCATATATGTATCTGGATCAGCCTTTGTTTGTCCCCAAGCTGGGCTGTCTTGGGACTGCGAACCGCCGCCAGAAGCCATCACCTTATGCCGCATCGTCTTATGGAAAAAACCAGGCGCGCTGTCGTTATGTCTCTGGGGATTCTCCCGAAACATGCCCCGGCAATGCCTTGGCAAAGGTCCCATTCTTGCTGGTTAACGGTTAACCCAATAAAAAGCCCTTATTTTTGTAGATTATCACCTGTTCTTGTTGGTCAATTGGTTGCTTTTGTTTGGTGCATTGCACAGTTTTGTTGCTGAACTCATATTTCTTGCTTAAATCAGGTTGACTCCTTATTTTGCTTGGTTAAATCATGTGAAATCAACTTTTTTCAACGGTTCATAACCTCCACATGTTTCGTTGAAGCATGGGATTCATCCCGCGGTGCCAGGGCAATTTGGATGACATGACGGACCCCGAGGGTGCCGGCGATGCCGGAGAGATCTGCTTTGTCTCAGCGGTGCCGCCGGGCATCGCCGGGCGACCGTTGCCGTCCACTGCTTGAGGGAAGGGGCTTCTGGTGATGGTTCGTTGGTTTCACTTCACCCATCTAACTATAGATAGACCATACATATACCATAAATATATATATGTACTATATAGTGTTTGGCTTTTAAGCCCATCTTGAAATAAAAACGCAACTAGCGCCAAATCCAAGTAGCCTACTTATAAAGTCACGTAGCTTCCTTGGGAGGGCCTTTTCTGTATCAATGGGCCCACTTCCAGTTAAAATTTGGTATTTTGAATATTAATGCATATTATAGTAACTCCCAAGAGATAGAACAATAACAATTTAACATCACATATATCACGATATACCACTATTGTAGTAGGAATTTTGGGTGGTTCCGCATCTTTCTGGGGGTGGCTAGAGCTAAAGACAATCCATTTTAAGGGTCGATCATTGATCATTCTAACCCATAATTTACGCAACATGTTTATAACATGTGATTAATACTACTTGGATTCAATGATGTTTCCGGGATTACAATAGATACTTTTCTGTGATTTTCTGCATAAATTAGAGCGACCCCGCTGCGGGGTCTCCATAAATGATGGTTCCTAGATGTTCCTAGGGGTAATTACCCCAAACACGTTTCAAAACTGTCATATTTCCCTAGGGTTGAATCATCATGGGTATAATTTTGCCACATACATATATTATATATACACATATTATACATTTATTTCTATACATAGTGAAGCTGGCAAGCCGTGACCAACACAAAGAACCTTATTGGAAATGATTGCTTTGATTCCCAGTGTTTAATTTGCTTCAGTGTGTTTCCCCACAATCCAGTGTCCAAAAATCAGACGTATTGGGGTCCAGGACCTTGATAAGAGTCAACCAATACTCGTAGTGAATTGCTTTGTCCCCTCATTGAGCCAAGCCATCGCCATGTTACCCAGTGAAGATCATCCCCGTTATGAAGCCATGGAGGAAATCTTGCAGCCACAGTTGGCTTCGATCAAGTCCCCAAAGGGTGAATCCCTCCTTTGGTAATGTTGGGCTACCCCCAAAAAACATCTCAATGTTTGCTATTCAAAATGGGGGTTCCTCCCATTTGAAGTCATAGAAAGCACCAGTGGATGCTTCCCAGTTCCCTTTCCAGTTTCATGTGTGCGTCGGTTGACGCAATCCACCAAGAGTGGGTGGAAATCATGTTAGAAGTCAAGCAATTTTTCTGATGAAGTCAATAAATCTCCCCAGTTTTGGATGGTTCCCCAATTTATTGGATTGGTTGAAGGGACAATTGAGACCGGAAGCCCTGATATTCATGGGAAAATCGGAAAATCCAGCCAGTTTCTGATTTCTGGTGAAGATTTCCCCAAGAAAAAGCAATCCAATGATCATCGAAGACTTGGGAAAAGTTGTTTTTTAAGCCCCATGAAAATTTGAAGATCCATTGAGTTCCATTGATTTTTTCAATGATGGTTAGTTGAATAATCCTGATGGGGTTAATGATCGATTTATGGATTTAGAAGCATCTACAGTAAATGAAATTTCATGGGATGATGGGATCATGATCCCCATAAAATTTTAAGAACCATCTAGATCTATGATTTCCCCCTATGAAACTGAGCACTTCGGCGCCAGCCACGCCGAACCGCCAGGCGGCCAAGGAGCGACAGGAGACGCCCCCCCCACCTCCTCAAGCTGAACCGGAGGCCATCCCAAGAGATGCCCCCATCGTGACCAGCACATGGTAATTCAATGGTGAATTCACTAAGATTTTTGTTGGGAAAATGTGCCATGAGTCAAAATGAGGGGATTTCTATGTGACTTCTGTGAGGTTGATTGAATTAAGTATAGTTTAACGAGTGGATTTATGCTAGATATGTCGAAATAGTTAGTGAGGGGTTGTAACATCTCATAACTAGATATAACTAGATCAATGGTGCCTTCCTCAAGCAACTTCTGCGTCACAACTACCAACGATTTTATAATCTGGCAACATGGGTACCAGGGTTTTTGATCCACCAAATTATCCCAATAGGTTATCATGACAATTGGTTTCCAAACAGTTTCCATGTATGTTTTCGAAACAGTAATCAAAAACAACCTGATTGAACCAGCAAAGTGATTACTCCCCAGTAATTTGAAATACCTACGAAAAATGACCCATTTAGTTCGATGATTACCTATATGACCAGAGGGTATCCCAATATTTCCAGTATATATATATATTACCCATTAATATTCCATTCTGTCCCTAGCAACTTAGTTTATATAATTATCTGGTTGGTGGTTTGGAACCACTAGTTGGGATGATGATCCAATCTAACTTTCATATTTTTCAGGGCGGTGGCTCAACCACCAATTAGTTATATATATATATTTATGAGGCTTACGCCTGACAGCCGGGCGCCGGCCAAAGCAGACCCGTGGAAGGTATGCGTTGGGTGTAATCCATGTCCATGTTCTGGTGTTGTTGTTGTTGTTGCTGTTGTTGTCGTGGTCGTCGTTGTTTTTTGTTGTTGTTTTTGTTTTTGTTGTTGTTGTTGTTGATGTTGTTGTTGTTGGCCGATGTTGGCCCTATTTGGGCGCAGGTTTGCCCCTGTCTTGGCCCTAGGTTGTTGTTGTTGTTGTGGTTGTGGTTGTTGTTGTGGTTGTCATTGTCGTTGTCGTTGTTGTTGTTGTTGTTGTGGTTGTTGTGGTTATTGTTGTTGTTGTTGTTGGCCGATGTTGGCCCTATTTGGGCGCAGGTTTGCCCCTGTCTTGGCCCTAGGTTGTTGTTGTTGTTGTTGTTGTTGTTGTTGTTGTTGTTGTTGTTGTGGTTGTTGTTGTTGTTGTGGTTGTTGTGGTTGTCGTTGTCGTTGTCGTTGTCGTCGTTGTTGTTGTTGTGGTTGTTGTGGTTGTTGTTGTTGTTGTTGTTGTTGTTGTTGTTGTTGTTGTTGTTGTTGTTGTTGTTGTTGTTGTTGTTGTTGTTGTTGTCGTCGTCGATGATGATGTTGTTGGTGATGTTGTTGTTGATGTTGTTGTTGATGTTGTTGACGTCGTTGATGTTGTCGATGTGGTTGATGTGGTTGATGTTGTTGTCTTTTGCATCAAGTTGGAGCTAAGTTGGGCCATCTTGGAGCTATGTTGAGCCATCTTGGGGTCATGTTGGGCGATCTTGGGGCCATGTTGGGCCTATGTTGGGCCATCTTGGGGCCATGTTGGGCCCATTTTGGGCCATCTTGGGGCCATCTTGGGCCTATGTTGGGCCGTCTTGGGCCATCTTGGAGCCATGTTGGGCCTATGTTGGGCCATCTTGGGGCCATCTTGGGCCTATGTTGGCCCTATGTTGGCGCAGGCTTGCCCCTATCTTAGCCTTATGTTGACCCATGTAGCCCACATCTTGGCCGATGTTGGCCCTATGTTGGCACCAAGGCCGTCAAGAACATCTGCAGAGACAAATTTTTGCGATTTTTTCCGCCCCTCAAAGCAAAAACTATGGAAAAACCCACATTTTTTAACATCGCCAAGGTGCAATTCTGCGCCGCCGAGGGGCCCAAAACCCTGTAAAAAACGATGTTTTTTGAACACCACACGCAGAATACACTGTAAATTACAGGTATAATCGTGGGTCGGGGGTGAACCGGAATCGACACGAGGTGGTCGGCGGCAGGGGGCGCAGCCGTATATCCGGCCAGGGGCCCCCTGGCCGTGTCCTTGCCGTACGGCAGTTCTCTCCTCTCCGTAGGAGAGAGGGGCCGCGCCCCCTGCCGCCGACCACCTGGTACCGCCAAAAACCCCCGCGTTTTACGGTGTTTTGTGCTCTTGCCACTTTTTGCCATTTTTCGGATCTTATGGCTCAAGATGGGCCAACATGGGCCAACATAGGCCTCAAGATGGGCCAACATAGCCCCAAGATGGGCCAACATAGCCCCCAAGATGGGCCAACATAGCCCCAAGATGGGCCAACATAGCCCCAAGATGGGCCAACATAGCCCCAAGATGGGCCCACATTGCCCTCAAGATGGGCCAACGTAGCCCCAAGATGGGCCAACATAGCCCCAAGATAGGCCGCCGACCATCAAAATATCCTGCGTTTTACAGTGTTTTTTTTGCTGTTCCCATTTTTCGGATCTTTTGGCTCAACATGAATCAACATGAGGCCAACATAGCCACAAGCTGGGCCCACATTGCCCGCAAGATAGGCCAACATAGGCCAACATAGGCCAGCATAGCCACAAAATGGGCCTACATAGTTGGGCCCCTGGCCGGCTGTCGCGCGTAAGCGCTTAAATAACCTTCGGTTACCACCGAAGGCCTCCGGCGAGGACACGGGCGCGGGGCCGGCGCCCGGATTTATGAGGCTTACGCCTGACAGCCGGGCGCCGGCCAAAGCAGACCCATGCGTCGGGTGTAATCCATGTCCATGTTCTGGTGTTGTTGGTGTTGTTGTTGTTGTTGTTGTTGTCGTTGTCGTTGTCGTTGTTGTTGTTGTTGTGGTTGTGGTTGTGGTTGTTGTTGTTGTTGTTGTTCTTGTCGTTGTTGTTGTTGTGGTTGTGGTTGTTGGTGTTGTTGCCGTTGTTGTTGTTGTTGTCGTGGTCGTCGTTGTGTTGTGTTGCTGTTTTTGTTTATGTTGTTGTTGTTGTGGTTGTTGTTGTTGTGGTTGTTGTTGTTGTTGGCCGATGTTGGCCCTATTTGGGCGCAGGTTTGCCCCTGTCTTGGCCCTAGGTTGTTGTTGCTATTGTTGTTGTTGGTGCTGTTGTTGTTGTTGTTTTTGTTTTTGTGGTTGTTGTTGTTGTTGTGGTTGTTGTTGTTGCCGTTGTTGTTGTTGTTGTTGTTGTTGGTGTTGTCGTCGTCGATGATGATGTTGTTGGTGATGTTGTTGTTGATGTTGTTGTTGATGTTGTTGACGTCGTTGATGTTGTCGATGTGGTTGATGTGGTTGATGTTTTTTCTTTTGCATCAAGTTGGAGCTAAGTTGGGCCATCTTGGAGCTATGTTGAGCCATCTTGGGGTCATGTTGGGCGATCTTGGGGCCATGTTGGGCCTATGTTGGGCCATCTTGGGGCCATGTTGGGCCCATGTTGGGCCATCTTGGGGCCAGCTTGGGCCTATGTTGGGCCGTCTTGGGCCATCTTGGAGCCATGTTGGGCCTATGTTGGGCCATCTTGGGGCCATCTTGGGCCTATGTTGGCCCTATGTTGGCGCAGGCTTGCCCCTATCTGAGCCTTATGTTGACCCATGTAGCCCACATCTTGGCCGATGTTGGCCCTATGTTGGCACCAAGGCCGTCAAGACGGCCAGTTGTCCGTTCCGGACCCCTGCCGCAGACCCAAAACCATGAAAAACCCATGGTTTTTTAACGTCGCCAAGATGAAACCTGGAGACGGCGAAGGCCACAAAACCCTGTAAAAAACGATGTTTTTGGAACACCACACGCAGAATACACTGTAAATTACAACGATAATCGTGGACCGGGGGTGAACCGGAATCGACACGAGGTAAGTAGGAGGTAGGTCGGCGGCAGGGGGGGCAGCCGTATATAACCTTCGGTTACCACCGAAGGCCTCCGGCAATGCCACGGGCCCGGGGCCGGCGCCCGGATTCAAGGGCTGCCGCCCCTGCCGCCGACCCCGGAAAAGAATGTGAAGAAGCTGAGGGAGGACCGCGGCAGCGAAGGATGAAAAAGCATCAAAATTGCGCCCAAAAACTCCTTAATGTAACTTCTGAAACCCAGATAAAAGAATGATTATTTTAGCTACTTTTTCTTCCTATTTCCTCCTGCTGCTGCTGCTGCAAAAGGGACCTCCCGGATGGGAAAACACCATAGCAGCGAAGGACGGAAAGGCATCAAAATTGCGCCCAAAAACTCTCGAATGTAACTTCTGAGACCCAAAGAAAAGGATGATTTTAGCTACTTTTTTCTTCATGTTTCCTCGTGCTGCTGCTGCTGCTCCTGCTCCTGCAACTCCTTCTGTTCAAAAGGCACCTGCCGGATGGGAAAACACCATGGCAGTGAAGGACGGCGAAGCCCCAAAATGGCGCCCCAAAAATGCCTAACGTAACTTCTGAAACCCAGAGAAAATGATGATGAAATGATGAGAAGTACGCCCAAAAACTCCCTAATGTCACTTCTGAAACCCACAGAAAACGCAGATTTTAGCTACTTTTTCCTTCTGTTTCCTCCTGCTGCTGCTGCTGCTGCTCCTGCTCCTGCGACTCCTTCTGTTCAAAAGGCACCTGCCGGATGGGAAAACACCATGGCAGTGAAGGACGGAGAAGCCCCAAAATGGCACCCCGAAAATGCCTAACGTAACTTCTGAAACCCAGAGAAAATGATGATGAAATGATGATTTTGGCGACTTTTTCCTCTTGCTGCTGCTATGAATTTTGGCTACCTTTTCCTCCTGCTTCTGCAGAGGCTTCTGCTGCTGCTGCTGCTGCTGCTGCTGCTGGGGTCGGCGGATATAGAATAGAAAAATTAGCTACCCCTGCTGTGTCTCAGAATTACGCCCAAAAACTCCCTAATGTCACTTCTGAAACCCACAGAAAACGCAGATTTTAGCTACTTTTTCCTTCTGTTTCCTCCTGCTGCTGCTGCTGCTGCTCCTGCGACTCCTTCTGTTCAAAAGGCACCTGCCGGATGGGAAAACACCATGGCAGTGAAGGAAGGAGAAGCCCCAAAATGGCACCCCGAAAATGCCTAACGTAACTTCTGAAACCCAGAGAA